TCAGTCTAGAGACTGAGGTGCACCTGATCCAGGCCATAGAGTGTGCAGTTACTTGCATCAGAGAGCTGAACAGTGACCAAAGATGGCAGAAGAAGAAATGATGCCTTTGAATTGTGGTGCTTTAGATGAGTATCGAACATACCATGGAGTGCTAAGAGAATGAACAGGTCAATCCTAAAGAGAGTGAAACCAAGCTTCCCCTTGAAGGCAAGAATTTTGAGACTCTGTCTTGCCTACTTTGGGCATGTAGCCAAGAGGGACCAGTCCTTGAAAAAGGACATCATACTTGGAAAGGTGGAGGGACAGCACAGGAGTAAGAGATCTCAAATGAGATGGTTGACACAGTAACTGGAGTAATAAGGGTAGGTGTGTCAGAGACAGTGAGATTGGTTCAAGATAGTGCAGGGATCAGAGTAATTTGCATAGGATTGCTAGGAGTTGGAGCCAACTCCACGGCACATAACAACAGCGTACCTGGAATGGCCATAAATCTGGTTTTGTCTTTACCCTTTAAAAAGAGATTACATCATTTTTCCAGATCACACTCCAATGCACTGGGAGAGACAGCCACTTCATAAGCTCTGAGCTTCTAGTATTACACCACTTCATAAGCTCTGAGCTTCTAGTATTACATAAGCAATATCATGGAGCAAGTTGGCTTATGGTGTCAGTGTGTGTAAATATTGCAATGATTAAAAGTTTATGTATTAGCATAGCTGATCAATTTTAGCCACCTGCCATTCATATCCTGGCCCCTCACTATGTAAATATTGTAAAAATTGAATTTTAACTCACTCAGATCATAGTTTATTTTACAGTGGAATTATTTTTATTTTATTTCTTTCATCTTTAACATAAAATAGTAAATTTTTTTTGGATAAGTGAACTAGATTACCTCAAGTGTATTATATACATTCTTGCATTTATCTCTTCATTTAGCAAGCATTTGAATGCCTTATTTTACCAAGACTGCTATGAGTTATGAGAAATTAAAAAAAAATGAATAAAGCCCTTCTGTTCAGGGAATTTTGATAAACCAGAAGATTATATTTCCATTAAAATAATTATGATCATAATACTGATTTTTAAAATTACTAGTATGTAATTAACAACAACAACAGTATATAATTTTTGTTGGATTTATTATCTAATATATTGGGAGATCATTATAAATATTGTCTTTTGACGTTTAGCAATTTTAATTAGGCCTTTTCTCTCCTAACCTGAAAATAAACTGAATAAAGCATCTGTGTGCTTGTACTCATTCAGCAAACATTGACTGAGTAGCTATCCTGTGCCAGGTATTGCATTATTTCCAGAGATTGCAGCGATAAACAATGTTAGCTTTGGCCTCGTGGAGTTTACTGTGTGGATAATTTATTGACAGACTGGTTTGTTCTTTCTCTTAAGTTCTAATTTCTTTGCTCTCTAGGTCACATTATTCACTTCATTTCCTTTTTTTAATTTTTCCTGAGTAGGGACAGGGAGGAGTATTTGTTGAGAATGTAGCACAGACACATGGTTGTTTTTGTTGTTGTGAGTTCCATTGAGTAAACTGCAACTCATAGTGACACTATGAACTCATAGAGTCTCTGAACCCTGCCCTATCCTGAGCCAATCTCATTGTCTCTGACACATTTACCTCTGTTACCCCAGTTTCTGTGTCAATCCATCTCATCAAGGAACTTCCTTCACCCTTTGGAGGCTCTTCACCATTTCAAGCGCGATGTCCTTCTCTAAGGACTAGTCCCTCCTGGCAACATTCCTGGAGTATGTGAGATGGATCTTAAAAATCCTTGGTTCCAGGGAGCAGCTTGGTTTTACCCTCCCCGGGACAGACCTGTTTGTTCTCTTAGCAGTCCATTGTATATTCACTACTCTTTTCTAGCACCATAACTCAAAGGCATTCATTCTTCTTCTGTCATCCTTAGTCATTGGCCAGCTATCTGATGCATAGCAAGTAATTACAAGGACTGTCACCTGGATCAAACACACCTTAGTCTAAAGACTGATGTTATCACTCTTCAGTAGAAGTCCCTGACAGCAGACTTTTTCAGTGCTTGCATTTTTAGTAGTATTCTATTGATGTACTGTTCCAGTCATTTTTGGAAAATCATCAGCAAGATTTTGTATGTGTGTGATATTACTGATATTGTGATAGTACTGATATTACTGGTATTGTTCAATAATTTCCACAATCTTTTAGATCATCTTTTTTTTCAAACAAGAATAAATATATATTAAGTAAATTGGCTAGGTAATTGTCCTCTAGATTTCTTGATACAACCTGGTGAGCAAACTGAAGGATGCATTAGCTTTTTGGGATAGGTTACTTGCTATATCATCCATTCCTGGGGCCTTGTTTTTGGCCATTTCCTTCACAGCAACTTGAACTTTCTCCTTCATCACCATTGCATCTTGGCCATACATTGTTTCATGAAATTCTTTTATGTATCAAAATTTCTTTTGTTACAGTAACTGTGCACTCCTTCCATCCTGTTTTGATGCTTCCTGGATCATTTACTCTTCTGCCTATTGTTGTTGTTGTTGTTGCTTGCCTTCGAGTTGAGCACAACTCATAGAGACCCTGTGAACAAAAGGCCTGAAGCCTTTCTAGAACTATTGACATTTATCAAAGTTCATAGAGTTTCTGAAGACATGTTGTTTAGGAAGTGGATGATACTCCTGCCATGTTGTTGTGGTTGTTGTTGTTGTTATGTGCCATCGAGTTGTTTGCGACTCATTGTGACCCAGTGTACAAGAGCTCTAAACGCTGTTCTATCCTGTGCCAACCTAGCCATCTCAAATGCACTTATTCCCACCGCTCCAGTCACAGAATTGATCCATCTCATTGAAGGTCTTCCTCTCCTTCGCCGCCCCTCCACTCTGCCAAACATGATGTCCCTCTCCAAGGACCAGTCCCTCCTTGCAACATGCCCAAATTATGTCAGATGAAGCTTCAGAATCCTTGACTCCAAGGAGCATTCTGGCTTCACCTTCTCTAGGACAAACCTGTTTGTTCTCCTAGCAGTCCATGGTATTTTCAACACTCATCTCCAGCACCACAGCTCAGAGGCATCAATTCTCTTTCTGTCAACCCTACTCACTGTCCAACTCTCTAATGCATAGCACGTAACTGCGAAGACTATAGCCTGGATCAGGTGCACCTTACTCTCCAGCCTGGCGTCATTGCTCTTCAGTACTCTTGAGAGGTCCCTCACAGCCGACTTTCCCAATGCAATTCATCTCCTGATTTCCTGTCTGCTGTTACCAAGAGTGTTGATTGTGGAGCCAAGCAAACTAAAACTGTTAACTATCTCAATCTCTTCACCATCCATACTGATGCTGCCAGTTGGCCCAATGGTGAGAATCTTTGTTTTCTTGATGTTGTGCTTCAGTCCATATAGGAGGCTACAGTCCTTGACCTCCTGCAGCAAGTGCTTCAGGTCCTCCTCAGTTTCTGCAAACAGGGTTGTGTCATCTGCATAACGTAGGTTGTTGATGAATCTTTAACCAATCCTGATGCCACATTCCTCTTCGTACAGACCATCGTCTCAGATGATCTGTTCTGCATACAGTTTGAAAAGGTATGGAGACAGAATACATCCCTGATGGACCTCCTTCTTGATTTTGACCCATGTAGTGTCTCCTTGCTCTGGTCTGATGACTGCTTCTTGGTCCAAGTATAGGATTCGCATTAGCACAAACCCTATGTACAATAGAGCGTACTTAGACTCCTGCCATAGCTTCTTTAAATATTGTAGCTTGAGGCTTGAATTTGTTCTGGTCCATAGCTTGAGAAATGCAGAGTGAGTTCCTCCCTTTTAATTTTCTGACTCTAGTTCTTTGCATATTTCATAATGGGAAAGAAAATTTGTTGAGTAACTTCATTGCTGTGAAGTAATAATAAGGCACAAAGAGATCTATCTCTACCATTTAATGATTTGTTAATAATACTATGCTTTCACTTTTTATTTGTAAAGTATATATGTAAACTTTGACTTTATATAACCAGACACCTGGGATAATTCCACTCCAAAATTTTCTGCTGTTGAATCTTCTCTTGTTTATTAACCTCATATCATAAAGTTGATTGGGTCTTAGATTGATAATCTAGGACTCAGTAGAACAGCCCCATAGGGTTTCAGAGGTTTTAAATCTTTACAAATGCAAACTTCTTCATCTTTCTTGTGTACAGCAGATGGCAGATTCAAATTACTGATCTTTTGGTTAGCTGTCAAATGCCTTAGTTACCGTGCCACCAGAACTCAATTCTGACTTCTAAGAATCTGAGGTTACAGACACTTTGTTTATTGGCTATTAGACATTCAGTTTGTCTTGGCATTACTACTGTTGTTGCATCTGAAAGTCCTTCAGTTTGTCACTCCATTGTTCACATAATAATTTGTGGCTTTCTCATTCAGCCAAGCCCCAAAATTATATGTGCGCTGAGAAAGTCCTTAGTAACTAATGACAGTGAGATTGCCATTGGTTAATAATGTGTGACTGTCGATCAAACATGTATGTTACAGTTAATTCTGACAATCCTGTATTGTGTTTCCAAGATAGTTAATCTTTTTAGGGAAGGGACTGTCCATCTTTTCTTCCAAGGATTGGCTGGTGAAGTTAAATTACTGGCCTTTCACTTGGCAGCACAGAGTGCCTTACTTTGCTTGTTTTTAATTCTTCATATTAATGTAAATCTTCCTATGTGTAAAAGTAACATCTGTAAAAGTTGCTCATGTGTACTGTTACATCAGAATCTACTACTTCACTGGGTTTCTGAGGCTTTGAATCACACTAGGGGAAATTGCACATCTTTCTGCCAGGATGCAGCTGGTAGATTTGAACCTGATGTCTTTGGGGGTCAGCAGTGCAAGTCCTTACTACTAGACTACTGGTGATTTATTTGAAGTGTTCCTTTTAAAATTTATCATTTTGTCATTTTATGCCTTTTGTTGAGAAACTATTCTAAAAAGTGTCACCTTTTCTCTTTCCAGTCTTAAGAAATGGTGCTTGGGAAATTGTTCACTGGGAAAAGGTATGTGCTAATTATTCTGTTATTCTAGGGGAAAAATTGTGTAGAGGTGCACTTTTATGCAACATATGTAGCTGTTAATAATTATTCTAATATGAGAATTATTATAATGATCAATGTTTTAAGCATACATGGAATCTTCATGTAGCCATTTTCATGTAATATTTTGACAAAATATTGCCAAGATAATTATTTTTAAAAGAATGATTTAGAATTTTTTGTTCTTTCATAGTATATTGTTTTCATAGATTCATTTAACCATAAACTGTTTTATGTTGTAATTTTTTTTTCTTTAGTCATTTACTGTCCAAGGAAAAATAAGTTAGAGTTCTCCTATTTCTCATTTATATATTAAGTAGGTTTCAAATTCATATACTGTGCTAATCACATTTGCACATTATTAATTCTTTTAGAAGAATAATGTTTTATAAGTGAAACAACATCTAAAAATGAATTGGAAGTCTGTTTTATAATGTTAAGAACTTAATATTCACAGAGACCCTGCAATGTTGTTTTAGTAGGTTGAATTAGAACTTAAATGTTATACAAACGCCCATATTTTTCAGACTTTATTTTCAAAAGGTAAGCCATTAATCATTATCGTTTAGATTTACAGTTAATCTAAACTTAGCGCAAGTAGATACCTTTTGTGACTTGGTAAAAGCCTCTTTGGAGACCAGGACACTTTACTCAAGGAACTTTGTTTTATGAACTTAGGGAGAGTTATCATAGTACAGGTACATCTCATTTATACTGGTCAGCTTAAAGACCATGTTCTTGCTTCTGTCTTGTGACAGTGATGGTTATTCCCCAGTACTAAAACCATTAAATTAAGGCAGCAGTACATTAATAACATTCTAGTGTTTTCTAAATTAGAAGCCGTAATAGAGATTAGTATCCCTTCTATATATTTGAAGCATCTCCCCATCTCCTTGGTCTATGATATAAGAATATGAGAAAAAAATAAAAAGCTCAATATACTTTCAAAAGAAGTTTCTTTTTGCTCCTGTACTTAAACATTTTTTTAGTAGAAACATGTAGGCTGTAGTCAGGTATGATGCTTTCAGTATCATTATAAATATACTTTCATGACAAGAACTATTATTGTAGTTCACATAAATGTCATATTAAATTGATTTGTCAACTTCCTCTTACCTACTGAAACAACTTGTTAACAACATAGATAAACATGATAAAAATCCAGAGATAACTATCTGTTTCAATCTAAATAAACTTGTGAAAAGGCCTTATTTTCTTAATAGCCACTCTTTATGTACTAATGCCATTGGTCTTTTCTATATCACCTATTTTTTTCACATTTTCAAAAATAGTTATGGAATCACCAGTCACAATTATCTTGTATATCAGTGCTATCTTTTTGCTTGTACACCTCATTTTGAAATATAGGGAAACCCAGGAATAGAGTTTGAACTGTTGCTAGAAGTAATTTAATCCTAATTAACTAAAATAACTTAATAAAATAGTTTTAATAATCTGATCTGATTAATATTTAGAAATTTTCTTCAGGAGAAAATAATGAAGCCACAGTGATTGAAAAATAGTTTTCATTTCTACTGCCTTTTACCTTTTCTAATCAAGATTTCTTGAAAGCAGTAAAACTTAGTACTTGCAAATAAGGGCTGCTCCAGAATGTTAGAATTACAAGAAGCTGGCTGTGGATTCAAAATAATTATTTAACAAAAATCTATAGCATTCTTAACATCAACAGTATCTGATTAGAAAATAGGGTGAAAAAAGAGGTCTCATACCAGTATTCAGCATATTCATTTCAAATATTCAATATGGCATATTCAGTATATGCAAATAAATTTGAAATATATATGTGACCTTTCTAAATAAAGCATACAAAGCTATGTATTAAAGATAATATAAATTTACAGAGGTGCAATATTAAAAAAAATTATTAGCTAAAAATTAAAATATTAATTGTATTCAATTACTGACAATATCTAGAAAAATATGGTTGGTTTTTCCTTAAGTGCTGATAAAAGTATTAATCTTTAAATGTAAGCTATTGAGAAATTAGAAAAATACAATTAAAAAAATTACAGAGGGTTAAATATCAAATACAAAGGAAAATAATAAGGTACATACATTTGTTGCATTAGTAGAGGTGATAAATAGATTTATCTGAAACAAACTCCATTTAGTAAAACAAAATCTATTTTATAAAATGACAAAAATATTTGGAAACCAGCTTATTTGACCACAGATTAGTAGTTATAAGAATTGAAAGAGTCTGTCTGACTCACAGGCTAGCTAAAAGAAATTTAAGTTGTAAATTGTTAAAATATTAGTTTTGAAGGTCATGACAAATGCAATAAGTGCTTTAACAAATAATTTGAAAAGCAAGAATATTTTGAATTTGATTTAATAGAAATAGGTCTGTAACTTGGGATGTGTTGAATTTGATAATATAAAGTGTAAAGCTGATGCATAGAAAAACATGTCTACAATCAGAGGGCAGAATACAGAAAGAAATCACATTATATTGATCCAAGTAAGATTGTGCTAATTGTAGATTATTTAAGATGTAGACTCTTCATCTTGAGACTGATAAAAAGAAATTTCTGATAATTTTTCCTAAGACCTTAAAGTAGGTAAAAGTCTACATAAAAAATGTGTAGTGTAGCATTATTTATGTAATAAAAAATTAGAAAGCATATATGGACTATCCAGCACCTTAAAAAGTGATTCATAAACATGTTGTGATATTCCATTAGTTGAAAATACTGGTAAATTTTGTGACAAATAAAAGCTGTAGGTGTTGGGTAACATGATTCTAGAATTCATTTAATGAGTATTAGTTGAGTGTATTAGCCAAGTAATGAGCTCACAGCCATGAACAAGATACTTAGAGCCTCTAACATCATAAACATAGAATCATAGATGAGAACAGAATTGTGTGTCCAAAGATGCCACTTGGCTATATAAAAACAGTTCATTGAACACAAAAGGAACCAATATAAAAGCAGGCGTACTTATTGAATGAGTCAGACTGTAGACAGGTATTTTCTTTGGTTTATATTTTTGTGCCATTAAAAAGAAAGTCAATAAGCTGAAACCAAGAATTTGTGCCACATGCCAGCATAATGTGAGACACCTTAGAACAAATGACCTTAGCTCTGTCATCTTTCTAAATGTGTGGCTACTGTGGTTGCTTCTGAATGGTCCTCAAAGGCCTACATATTTGGAGAGTACAGCACATCTGGTAATTCACAGATCCGCTGACTTCAGTTCTCCAGTTTTTGCATCCTGCTATTGTCTTAAGGCTTTTCCGTTGGAAGTATTCAGTTTTAACACAAAGTGTTGCAATTGCTAAACCCTGTGCAATGAACTCTTGTTCTGGAAATGGAGAGTAAGCAACTGCCGTCATTGGCTTCACCACAGCAAACAGGTTTTCAGGTGAAATATGGCTGATGCTGTTCTAGGGTTTTTGAGATTAGGTGCAGGTGAAGAATTTAGGAAAATAATCTTGTCATCAAAGCATTCTTCTTTATAGGAAAGTATGCAGTGGTAGAGGGCATGCATGTGTACAGTCTACTCTGTACTAACTTTTGACTATAAAGTATAAATCTTCAGGGAGCTCTGGTGGCCTAGTGGCAAGGAGCTGCACTGCCACCCTGAAGGCTTGCAGTTCAAATCCTCCAGCTTCCCCACATTTGGTTAATCTCCTTCTGTGCAATTTACTGCCTTTGAAAAAACTTGCTTGAGGGTCAGCTCTGGATTGGTTCCTACTCAGTGGTACTTAACAAATGTATCCTGGAATCCTGGATTGGTTTCTGAAGCATAAACAGACTTTAATGGGGAAAACAATGGTGAAATCTGAGTAAATTCTATTAATATATATAGATAGAGATACATCTCTATCAATATCTATATATCTCCATCTCTCTCCCTCTCTATACATTTGTATGTATAGAAACTTGGTTTCAAGACAGAACATTTGTTTTCTTGGTCCTCTATGGTATGTTCAAGATTCTTCTCCAGCACCACAATTCAAAGGCCTCGATTCTTCTGTCATTTTTAGTCATTGTCCAGCTCGCTAATGCATAGCGAGTAATTTATATCTTTAGATTGAGTCCTGCTGGTTCATTGTTTAAACAGTGAGCTGTTACAAGAAAGATTGGCAGTTCAAACACATCGCCCTCTCTATTGGAGCAAGATAAGGCAGTCTGCTTCTGTAGAGATTCACATTGTTAGAAACCCTATGAGTGTGATTCTCCCTGTCCTATAGATTCACTCTGAGCCAGTATCATCTCTTAGACTCTGAGTTTATGTATTTGGTTACTCAAATAACTACAGTCATAATTTTCTATCACCAACTATCAGTGTAACTTGTTCAAACAAGACCTTGAAGGAATTTAATTTTTGCTAAAAGCTGTGTGATGCACCTTTCATTTAAATTACTTGAAGTCTGTTTCTGATAGTAGTAGATGATTAGTTTGTATCTTTTCATGCCATACTCAGATAATAAATGCCAATAGGTAGCAGAATGATGAGGAGAGTAAGGTCTTTAATGTGATATATTGTGATCCATTGCAATCAAATAGATTCTGACTTTCAGTGACCATGTAGGACAGAGTATAAATACTCATCTTTCTCCTGTGGAGCAGCTGGTGGATTCCACCCATGAGTCTTTGGCTACCAACCAGATTCCCTCACCACAGGATCACCAGTGCTCCTAGAATAAGGTGATTCAGTCAGTCAGTCAGTCAGTCAATCAATCAGTCAGTCAGTCAGTCTGGCAGCCAGCCAGCCACTCACTCACTCGCTCACTCACTGCCATTGAGTCTGCTCTGATTCCTGTGACCCTCCATTGGGTTTCCGAGGCTGTACATTGCAATGGGAGGAGACCACTTCATCTTTCTTCTGAGGAGGTGTTGGGGAACTTGAAATGCCTGAGCCGTGCAGCCTTCATGTTTACTATGGACTATGCCACCAGAACTAGCTAGAATACAGCCATAATCTCACTAGATTAGCTGCTGGAAAATCAGACTTTTCAGATGTACAGTCTTCTAGACACAGTGATGTTGAGTACAAATCTACAATTTTCTTTGTCTCTAATCATAGATTACAACTGAGGCATGTTTCATAGGGTCATGATGAGGAATAATCAAATCTGATATATTTTCCAATTTATTGAGATTTCCTTAAATAGGGTCAAGATTCACTTAGTACATTCATTTTTTTATTTTTGTGTGAGAAGGAGAGAATATTAGAAAATGAGATGTCAATGAAGTGGATAGGGTATATACACTAATTTTGGTAGATGAAGCTACATAGCTGATAGATACAAAAGTTCATTTTTCTAAGACTTGGTCCACTCAGTCTAACTCCTGGACAGTTTCATGCCATTTTGATTGATGGTTTGTCAATAGCCATCTCTTCTGTGTTATGTGGTTAAATACAGTGGGTTGTATATTTGTCATGATCTTTCATTGCAGATAATTAACCAATTCCCAGTTTTCTTTCAGGTAAATGTTGGAGATATAGTTATAATAAAAGGCAAAGAGTATATACCTGCTGACACTGTACTTCTCTCATCAAGGTAGAGACAACTGCTGATGCTCAAACAGTGTAGAGGATCCTTTCTCTACCCTGCGTTGACCTTGTGATTGCTCCAAGGAAATAAAGAATAAACGAAGAATTTTAAACCTCTGTTTCATGGTGGTTTTTGGTTTTTTGTGATTTTTTTTCCTTCTCCAATTAAACACTTACAGAAAGAAAAAAAAATTGTTGATTGGACTTTACAGGTTTTTTTCATGTTTGTCATATACAATAAATGATAGGCACTTGACTTGCGAATTCAAAGGTGTAACTAACAATCATGAATCTACGCTCCCTCTAGGGAGGGTATGCCACTACCCTTTAGGGAATTGCTAGTTCATAAGATTTCCTGTCATTTATTTTATATGATAAAGAGATTGAATCCTGTTGAATTTATGTTGCAATCTTTGTCCATGGTAAACCTTTTTACAGTGCATTTACATCCCTGACAAGTTTTTTTATTATCATATTAAAACGATATTAGAAAGTTGAACTTTTTTTTTTTTTTTGGTCATCATGCTTTTTGAAATGTCATGCTCTTTCAACAGCTATAAAATCCTTTTCCCTTTCTTTTTTACTTCTCTTAGTTGCTGACTTGAAATAATATTTATTTTACTCATCTCTTATATAGTCACGAGTTAGTGTTCAGAACATATGGCACTGTTACCCTTTAAAGAATGTGACATTCAAATGAATTCATGTTTAAAAGCTAGAGAACTGGTCCTGATATAAATTAAGGATTTTTAAAAATATTTTAGAGGTTGTTTATCATCATTTCCTTGGACTGTTTTATTTGTAAAATCCACATATAAATATGGACAATGCCCTTTTCCCCAAAATTTATTTAATCAGGTCTTTATTTAATATATAATTGAGTTTAGTGCAAGTTTTTAAAACTTGAAGTAAAAACTGCATATATTTACCCAAATAAGTCTATAAGTAATTGAAATAACGTTTTATAATATACCAGGGTTTTTTAGGGTTTTTTTTTGTGCCATTTACCTGTGAGAGTTGCTCCCGTATCCCCTCCGTGGGAATAGCAGAATATTAGGGTTACAGGAAAAAATAGTATAAATACTTAAACTCAAATTTTGTTCATCCTTTGCTCATACTTTTTTCAGGGTAAATTGCCTAAACTGATGGAAAGTTAGTGGTTCCGATCTGGCTACATGAGAATAGTTTAATATGAGCTCATCATTATCAGTCCTCTGATGTTCTGAGTAGCTTAAGTCCTGAAGAAAACACTGCTTAGAAGTCAATAAACTGGAAGTTTTATGGGTAATTTCAGAAACTGTTGAATTAACTCTTAGATTCTATATGGAGAGACATTAATTGCTATATGTGGGGCTTTTGTTGTTGTTGTTGTTACATGCTCAGGTGTGGAGGTTGTTAACTATTGTGCCTTGATGTTGTATTTCATTCTAAATTGTAAGCACTTAAAAATTTGTCATCTACCTCTGTTCATTCCCTGAAACTCGTTTTAAACTTGAATACATTTTTACAGGATTTCTTTTCTAAACATTAAAAGCATTTACTAGTAATCATCAGTCTTGATAGTTTCTATAAATGAATATATACTTCAAAATAATTGACTTCCTAAAATGATTATTAAAATGAAGATTAACTGATTTTTTCATTTTTTAGACAGTTACTTTGATTCAAGTGGTCACTTTCTATTTTATAGACAATGCTTTAAGTATTGTCTCTTTTAAACTTGCATCAGTCTTAAGAAAGAATTGACTCATAGTTGACCCTCCAGCAGGTTTCAAAGACTGTGTAAATGGTAGGGGAGGAGATTGCCTATTTTTCTCTCATGGAGTCTTTGGTGGATTTGAACCTCCCGAGAGAGCGTTTGGGCTATCAGAGCTAGCCATAGCTAGTGGACTATGGACTAGGCCACCAAAACGGCTTAATACTTACTTTGTTTTTGTGTGCTGTTGAGTCAGATTCAACCCAACCTAGAGCTGGAGTCAGAAAATCAAAGGGGCCCAACTTGCTCAGCATTTCTTAAGCTCAGAGAACTGAAGAACAAATTCAAGCCTCAAGTTACAGTATTTAAGGATGCTTCGGGCAGAATATGAAATGATCCAAGAAGTATTAAAAGAAGATGGAAAGAGTATACAGAGTCATTGTACCAAACGGAATTGGTGGACCCAGAATAATTTCATGAAACAACTGAGCAAGAGCCTGGGGTGATGAAGGGAGAAGTTCAAGCTGCTCTGAAAGAATAGGCAAAAATAGAAAAGAAAAAAAAAGCCCTGAGCAAGAGCCTGGGGTGATGAAGGGAGAAGTTCAAGCTGCTCTGAAAGAATAGGCAAAAATAGAAAAGAAAAAAAAAGCCCCAGGAATTGACAGTATACCAGTTGATATATTTCAACAAACAGATGCTGCCCTAGATGTGCTCACCAAGTTGTGCCAAGAAATCTGGAGAACAACCACCTGGCCGGCCAACTGACTGGAAGAGATCTATATTTGCTTTTATTCCAAAGAAAGGTGACCTGACAGTGTGGAAATTATTGAACAAAATCATGAATATCACATGCGAGCAAAATTCTGCTGAATATTATAAAAAAATGACTGGAATAGCATATCAATAGAGAACTGCCAGACATACAGGCTGGATTTAGAAGAGGCCATGGTTGAAGGGCATTATAGCTAATGTTGGATGGATCTTGGCTGAAAGCAGGGAGTACCAGAGAAATGTATATCTGTTTCATTGACGGCAAAGGCATTTAACGATGTGGACCACAACAAAGAGTGGCTAACTCTGAAAAGAATGGGAATCCCAGAACACTTGATCGTATTTATGTGAAACCTATACTTGGACTAGGAGATAGTCATCAAAACAGAGCCAGGAAATGCTGCATAGTTCAGAATTGAGAAGGGTGTACGCCAGAGATTTGTCCTATCTCCATACCTTTTCAGTCTATGCCAGGAGGCTGGACTCTATGAGGAGAAATGTGGCATTAGGATTGGAGGAAGACTTATCAATACTCTGCGTTATGCAGATGACACAATTCTGCTTGCTAAACCTGAGGAGGATCTGAAGTACTTGCTGCAGAAGGTCAATGACTGAAGCCTTCAGTATGGATTGAGGCTCAATATCAAGAAAACAGATTCTCACCACTTGGCAAATAGGCAGTATTGTGATGGATGTTGAAGAGATTGAGATTGTAAACAGCTTTAGTTTGTTTAGCTCTACAATCAAAATTCTTGACACCAGCAGTCAGGAAATGAAAAGATGCATTGCATTGAGAAAGTTGGCTGTCAGAAACCTCTCAAGAATACTGAAAACCAATGATGTCAGTCTGGAGAATAAGGTGCACCTGAAATAGGCCATGGTCTTTGCCGTCACTTGCTATACATCAGAAAGCTAGAAAATGACTAGGGATAATAGAAGGAGAATTGATGCCTTTGAGCTGTGGTGTTGGAAGAGAATATTAAATACACCATGGACTGCTAGGAGAACAAACGGGTTCATCCTGGAAAGGGTGAAACCAGGCTGCTCCTTGGATGCAAGGATTCTGAAGGTTCCTCTGACATACTTTAGACATGTTACAAGGCAGGATCAGTCCTTGGAGAGTGACAGCACAGGAGAGGAAAACCCTCAGTGAGATGGGTTGATTCAGTTACTGGGATAATGGGGGTAGGTGTGCCAGAGACAATAAGATTGACATAGGATAGAGCAGGGTTTAGGGCTGTTGTACATAGGGTCGCTATGGGTTGCAGGCGACTCGGCATATAACAACAAAACCAACTCAAAACACTGAAACTATACCTCTTCATGTTCTGAGATCTTTATCTCTACATTTAGGACTATATGTATTTGTGCATTTAAATTAAAAAACCTTTTGGAGTTAGAAAAATGTTGAGGATTTTATTTTCGTGAAAGAAAAGAAATAGTATAGTATACTTTGTAACAGCAACTAACAACAAACTTTGCTAGAAATTACAGGAGGAAGGAGCCATTTGTAAAATAAAGTAGCTGTCTTAAAATGATATATTTTTCTTTAATTTGGCAAGATAGATATACTTGTGAGAGAACGTTAAATTGAAACATTTATACATTGAAAATTGATCATAAGAGCAAATGAACATTCCTTAATAGTTAAATATTTTTGTTTTATGCTTTTGGACCTGATTAAAATAAATTCTGGAAAAAAATGGCATTCGACATTTTTATTAACATGTATTTTTTATAATAATTTCAAAACTTTCTGTCTCTTTTGTCCATTTGTTTGTTTTTTCCCCCTCTCTGTTATTCATTTTTTTTCCCATTTTAATTATTTTGAATTGGGACATGTAGGTGGCAGTAGGGGAAATAGTGAAAGTGACCAATGGGGAGCATCTCCCAGCTGATCTCATCAGCCTGTCCTCCAGGTTAGAAGCACCGGCTTATACAGGATGTGTGTATGTGGGTCCTCACCCTACACCAGAGAATAGCTGCAACTGAACATGGTGAAATTCCTGGCATCTTCCTTTAAAAGCAATCTTCTTTTGATATTTCTTTATGATGCATATTTCTCAGATGTTCTGAAAGCCTTTTCTGAAATCAGTTTTGGCTGCCATTTGTCCTTTAATTGGACGATTCGACTCCTATCGTCATCAGTTGGAGAGTCCCACAGACATGGCAATAAAGGGAAATGTCCATTTCCTATGCATCATTCATTTATTTATATTTCACCAGATATGAAGGCTTAATTTATTATCTTTCCAGGATATAATTTTGAACAATGCTTTCATGAAATGAAGAGTTACTGAGAATTTTTTTCTATTTTAAATATACTTGTTCTAGTCTTACATTGAAATTTTCAGTAGAAACTTCAGAATCCTTGAAGTGATGTTGACTGTAATTTGGGCGTGTATAGGGTTTATAGAGGACCCCCTGCACCAAGCTGGATGTTGTACATTTTGTACCGCATGCTTTGGGATCAATTATTATCTCACTTGTAATAGTGACAACATGCACGTTACTGTGATAAATCTCCGCTGTTGACTAGTGTCTGTATTGTGATGTGCATCCTGTTTCATTTCTCCACTTACTAATCAAAATGCCTGCTCTGCCTCTCTGACTGTAGTTTCTGTTTTGGATGTCATCATAATTTGCTGAAGTGTTTATTCTCTAGCATGACTATTTTATCTGTGACTTCTTGCTGCCTCTTCACAGCTCTGTTAAGAACTGCTTTTGTGTTATTAAAAATGATTATTTAAAATGTCATGAGTTTGGATGCATATATTGTTTGCCTCCATTTCAAATAGAAGTCAACCATTTAATGTCTGAAAGAGTTGTGTTATGAAAAATAGATAGAACTGTTATTCTCATTTTAACGTGAGAGTGGCCTTGGATAAGTGTATTGATCCATAAAAGTTTAATGCCTCTTCCTGCCAAGTATGTGTTATTGTTATTCATTTAGGATTAGTTTGTCATCATGCTTTTATTATTAGAAGTTACAAACCCTTTATATTCCAAATATGTATACAAGTAAGTTATAAATTGAGAGCCGTATCCAGAGCTAAGTTACCATAGAGACAACAGTAGAAAACAAACCTTTGAATGATTGATAGAGTAAAAATGCAAATTTTTCAAGATTTCTTCAGTTGAGGAAAAGGAGCAGACTTTATTATGAAAGACAGTACAGAGAGATGAAAAACGTGCAGAGTAACTTTGAAATAAGTATTTACAATACAAATTAATAGGAAAAGAAAATGTCAGTTAGTTTCATTAAGGCTGCAAAATTCAGCTAAAGGTGCATTTCTGAAATGTGGAGTAGTCTATTTTGCACGTGCACAAGTGGGGAGCTGACTAGAAAATTCCAGGTTTGCGAATTCCTCTTGAGTTCTGATCACACCTACTTGTCAGAGATTGCTTTTATAGTTTCTCATACTGTGCGTATTTGGTGGTTTGAACCCACCACTGTCTCCTCAAGAGAAGAAGGGGCAAGTTCCTCCCATGCGATTTATTACAGCTGTGAGTTGATTCTGACACACTGGCATTGAGTTTTGAGTTTTTTGAGTATATGACCAAGCCTTGATAAAATGGATTTCATTTCAGAATGTTATTTCTTAAAATTGAAGAACAGATTCTGTGTTTGAACTTCAAATTCACCCATTTATAGTTTTCAGGCAAATAAAAATGGTGTGCCACTACTGAAGGCATAATGTCTGCGGTAAAATGAGAACATATACTTAGAGCCTAACCTCACACCAGATTGTATTAAAACACCTGGTGGGAGCCAATAAACATAAGCTTCTAAGTTCAGGCCACACTTCTGCTGCTGTAAGAGTATCTGAAGCAACTACAATAAATAGGAGAGGACAAACAGAAAAGTTCATTTTCTCCTAAAGATTATTAATAGTTTTTAAAAATGGCCTTGAAATTTTAATATTTCCCATGGTCGTGGTCATGACATCTATAATAGTAGTAAGCATGAATTTGTAGGAGCAGCAATTTGGAATTTTCTCCTCAACTACCTTTCTTAAACAATTTACATGTGCTCCACTAGCATGAAATATCACTTAATATTTTTGAGCTAAAGATACACTTGGACACGAAGGTGCTTTACATTGCAGATAGAGTCTGTGTTTTGTCTGTATGGATGAACAAATTCAATATAATGTGACAAATCTGTGCATTTACATTATCTTGAAGACCAGCAGTGACTATTGTTAGGAAATGGCTTTTGGGTCTTTCTGGCTGAAAAGAGGATTCATAAGTTGTCATGCATGGGCCCATGTCATGGCATCTTGCTGTTAGAATGAAAAACATCAAGAAGCTAGATGACTCATGGCTTTTTCTAGAATCAAAGGCTTCGGTAAAACTGACCATTTGAAAATGCTGTTAATGTTATTACTGTACTTGTCTGCCCTCTCTAAATCCTTGTGTTTCTCAATTTTAAACAACAGTGAACCCCAGGCCATGTGTTACATTGAAACATCTAACCTAGACGGTGAAACAAACCTGAAAATTAGACAGGTAAGACCTAAAAAGGATTTATCCTCATTGTTTACATAGAATTAAAACTTTTATTTCTCTGTGTTATTTTCTCAACTTTAATGAATTCTGTCCAGTTGCAGGTATTTTCTTGTTAAACCTCTTGCTCCAAGTTTTTTAGGTTGGATGGATTACAGGAGATTCAGATGATACATGACTGATGATAATGGTGCCTTACACAGATAGTACAGGCCTACTGGAGGGCTCTGTTCGAGATGATAGCAATAAAGTACATATTTCTATAAACTGGTTACATGATCTTTTTTTTTATTCTATCACATTTAAGAGTATAAAAGTTATGAGAATTTCCAAACTGTAACACAGAGACCTGAAGTAATTACTTGCTGTTGGCAACACTAGATTGCCTGATGAAGGATGACCACTATATTAAAATCACAGTATCTGTGAAGTGCAATAAGTAAAACACAATAAAAGCAAAACATAGGAAAATGAAGTGTTCATGTATATCTGATTTTTAAAAAACGATTTTATATGTATTGACCTCTGTTTGCCTAGAGCAGTATGGAATAGGTAGCTATCTCCATTAACAACTTCCTCTCCAGTGAGACCAGCTACTATTACTAAACACTTTGATCAGAGACTCATGGAAAAATGCTGATCAAAAGGGGAGAAAAGTAGCACAGAATTGAAATTCTCTTGTAATCCAGATTTTCTGATGTTTTAGAGACTGATTGGACCCCTGAAAATATTACCCTGATAAGATCTATGACATGAAACCAGTAATAATCCCTGAAGTTGTCTTAAAATCTCACAGAAGTTTAACATGAGTAGTAAAGAATGTTACCCTAGTTTGTTGCTATTGGGTGCTATAAGTTTGAACCAACCCTTAGTGGACTCTCCAGCGAGTTTTCAGAAGCAGTTAATCACATGGGGATTGTCCATCCTTCTCTTACGGGGCAGCTGGTGGCCTTGAACCACATTCCTTTAGGATTGCAGTGCAGCTTCTTACCACTAGGCCACAAGAACTCCCAAGAGTATGATGTTCTTTTAACATTTATCTTGAAAGATTAGATAGGAAATGGGACAATGAGTTTATCTTAATGATCATTTTTTTTAATCTTAATGTTGTTTTAGTTATGTGGTATTAAGTCCCTTCCAACTCATAGAGACCCTATGGACAAGAGCCCTAAATGCTCCTCTATCCCGTGCCAACCTCGCCAGCTCTGACACACTCATTCCCACCACCCCAATCACAGAATCGATCCATCTCATCAAGGGTCTTCCTCTCCTGCACCATCCCTCCACTCTCCCAAACATGATGTCCCTCTCCAAGGACCAGTCCCTCCCTGCAACATGCTCAGAGTATGTCAGATGAAGCTTTAGAATCCTTGACTCCAGGGAACTCCAGGCTTCACCCTCTTCAGGACAAACCTGTTTTTTCTAGCAGTCCATGGTATATTCAACACTCTTCTCCAGCACCACAACTCAAAGGCATCAATTCTCTTTCTGTCATTCCTACTCACTGTCCAACTCTCCAATGCATAGCACGTAATTGTGAAGACAATAGCCTGGATCAGGCACACCATAGTCTCCAGTCTGACATCGTTGTACTTCAGTACTCTTGAGAGGTCCCTCACATCTGACTTTCCCAATGCAATTCCTTTCTTGATTTTCTGGCTGCTGTTACCAAGAGTGTTGACTGTGGAGCCAAGTAAATGAAAACTGTTAACTATCTCAATCTCTTCACCATCCATACTGATGCTGCCAGTTGGCCCAGTGGTGAGGATCTTTGTTTTTTATTGATGTTGAGCTTCAGTCCGTATTGAAGGCTGCAGTCCTTGACTTTCTGCAGCAAGCACTTCAGGTCCTTCTCAGTTTCAGCAAGCAGGACTGTGTCATCTGCATAACTCAGGTTGTTGATGACTCTTCACCAATCCTGATGCCACATTCCTCCTCGCACAGCCCATTGTCTCAGATGATCTGTTCTGTATACAGATTGAAAAGGTATGGAGACAAAATACATCCCTGATGGACCCCTTTCTTGATTTTGACCCACGTAGTGTCTCCTCGCTCTGTTCTGATGACTGGCTCTTGGTCCAAGTATAGGTTTTGCATAAGCACAATCAAATTTTCTGGGATTCCTGTTCTTCTCAGAGTCAACCATAGTTTGTGATCTACACAGTCAAAAGCCTTTGCATAGCCAATGAAGCACAGATGGACATTTCTTTAGTATTCTTTGTTTTCTGCCAAGATCCATTAGCTATAATATCCCCAGTACCATGACCTCTTCTAAATCCGGCCTGCACATCTGACAGTTCTCTATTGACATATTGCTCCAATCGTTTATGGATAATTTTCAGCAAAATCTTGCTTGTATGTGATATTAATGATATTGGTTGATAATTTCCACACTGTTGGGTCACCTTTCTTTGGAATGGGAGCAAATATCAATCTTTTCCAGTCTGTTGGCCAGCTGGCTGCCCTCCAGATTTCTTGGCACAACTTAGTGAGCACATCCAGGGCAGCGTCTGTTTGTTGAAATAAATCAGTTAGTATGCTGTCAACTTCTGGAGCCTTGTTTTTTGCCACTTCCTTCAGAGAAACTTGAACTTCCTCCTTCATTACCACAGACTCTTGCTCATATGTTATTTCTTTAAATTCTTCTGTGTCAGCCAATTCCTTCTGATACAGTGACTCTGTGTATTCCTTCCATCTTCTTTTAATGCTTCCTGGATCATTGAACATTCTACCCAGAGTATCCTTGAGTATTGCCACCCGTGGCTTGAATTTGTTTTTCAGCTCCTTCAGTTTAAGGAATGCTGAGCGAGTTCAGCCCTTTTGATTTTTCTGACTCCAGCTCTCTGTACGTTTCAGTATCTCTGTACATTTATAGTGTCTTGCTTTGTCATCCTGGGCTGCCTTTTGAAATTTTCTGTTCAGCTCTTTGATTTCTCTGTTTCTTCCTGTAGCTTTGGCTACTCAGTGCTCTAATACAATACTCAGAGTCTCATCTGACATCCATCTTGATCTTATCTTCTTCTTCAGCCTTTGTAATGATCTTTTGCATTCTTCATGGGCGATTTTAGATTTTCTTGTTATCCTCCCAGAGCTCATTTGGTCTACGCTCAATGGTGCTCAAGGCCTCAATCCTGTTCCTGACGTGGTTTTGAGCTTCAAATGGGACAGACTTAAGGTCAAAATTTATCTTGAAAAGTTAGATAGGAAGGAGGTCAATGAGTTTATCTTAATAGGGAACAGGACAATTCAACAAAAGAGGTAGGAATAGTGGCAGGACTTAAACAATATTAAGCAAAAATTTATAATAGATGTCACTAGATTACAGTGTAGATACAGCAGTTGGTGTATTTTTCCAGTACAACCACAAAACTAAATTTAAAAATATTTGTATGTTACAGCCATTATATGGACAGGAAAATGATCATAGGCTTGTTTTAACATGTACTAGTTTATTTTTCTATTCACATGGTCTAAATTACTTTTTTTTTGCCTTGGCCAGGTTGAAAAGATGTGTCATTTGCTGTTTTCAAATTTCTCATTTTCTTAGAACTAAATACTATGGCTAGTATTTGTGTTTTTCATGCCACTTCTATCAGAAAATCACTAACATTTATATTTTTTAAATTATCAGATGGATTTTGAAAGAGAAATTCTGTTTTCTTGGGCTTAGGGTAAACAGTGAAAGTACGTCTTGAGAAGGGTGCAGTGTGATGCACTAGACCACTTATTGCCGTATTCATGTACTCACAGCTCCTACCCACAACGGTCTCACTGAATGACCACTAGTTCTGGTTGATCAAAAGGGGGCGAGAGATTGGAGAATCTTCTCTTAGTGAACTTAAAAAACAGAAGCATTAATACTACAAAGCCATAGATTCCATTCATTAACCCCATGTGGGTTCAAAACTCAGCACTGCGCAATGCTAATTATTAACTTTCTTTTTAAGAGGCCTGTGACACTTTAGAGGCTTATTTCAAAACATCTTTGCAGACTTTAATCTTTTAGAACTTTCACAAACACTGTGTTTGGTGAGGACAAGTGGTGACCCTTAACTGTTACTTGACAAGGATAATACTATGTACCTGCAAAGAATAGCTTTGTCATTTTTAAGGTCTTTCAGGTCTTCAACTTTGTGCCCTTAAGGCCTCGGTAAGTTCAGAAGTTCCCCTTTATGTACAGCTAACTTAATATATACTTATTTCCTTTTAAAACAGGGCTTACCAGCAACGTCAGATATAAAAGATATTGACAGCTTGATGAGACTTTCTGGAAGAATTGAGTGTGAAAGTCCAAATAGGCATCTCTATGATTTTGTTGGAAACATAAGGCTGGATGGACATGGGTATGTACAATAGTCTCCTACAAACATGGAATTTGCTATATGAATGATCATTTTGATATTTCAAAACTTCTGCTTTGGAAACTTTACCATTCTATACAGAGTCCTATTGTGAAAATGCTAGTCTTTAGCCCAGATAACTGAAGACTTCCTTAGGATGCCTGACCATCTAGCTAGTGGATGTTTTCAAGGTTGTGCTCAGACTCCCATCATACTGTTCGCTAAATCTGTGGCCCAGAATCCTGGACAGGATACTTCTGTTGCAATACCCAATTACAGACTGAACATCCAGTCTCTATGGCCTGGGTCCTTCCGTGTGATCCTTGTATACATCAAGTACAGATGTCTGTAGGGTGTTCATTATACTGAACCATTTCTTGTCTTTTTACTTGAATGTGTTTTTCTCCTGGGCTGTATCATCTCTAGTTACAACCAGCACCTTTCCCTTCTCCTCTCTTCTCTTGCCTACCTCTTCTCTCATTCATTGACCTCATACTCATTAAACATCTCTGTGGACTAGGCCAGCCGTTAAGTAGATAAACAAAGCAGATAAATATTCTTGCCCTTTTGAATCTGAGCTTATTTTCTTTCAATGAAGAAAAGGTGAATATATGGACAATAAAATACCAAGTAAGCTATATCTATAATACACTAGAAAGTGATTTAGATGCTTCAGGGCAAAAGAAAGGAGGGGGAAAAAAACCACAACTCACCAAGAATAAACCTAGCCCAGGATCACGGAGTTTGAGAATCCTTGAGAAAGAATTACTTATATTTGGGAGTGGTCCTATCTAGTTAGTCTCATTTAACATTTAAAAAGATGTAGGTGAGTTGAGAAATGGAGGCATCTGAGTATCTAGAGAGAGCAGATTCTGGGTAGCAGGAATAATTAATAGAAATGATTTAACATATTATTATTTACCCTTATAGTGGGAATATGCTTACAGTATTTGTGGAATGTGAAAGAGGCCAGTGAGGCTGGAGTACAAGAACCAGGGAAAAGAGAAGAGAAGAAGGTGTGAGAAATAATAGGAGACTCACTTAAGACTTTGCAGACCATAATTAGTGTTTCATTCTAAAAGAAATGGAGACCTATTGGAAGATGCTGAGAAGAGACACATCAGTGTTTCTTCTTCAGATGAAAGTATTTAATGAGTGCCATTGACTCAATTTCAACTCCATACGATAGGGCAAGAACAGTCTCATAGAGTTTTCTTGCCTGTAATTTGACAAGAGCTGAATGCCAGCTTGTTCTGCAATAGAGCCACAAGGTGAATGTGAATCGCTATCCTTTAATTTCATAGCCAAAGACTTAACTGTTGCATCACTAGGGCCTCTTGTGGCAAAGTGAATTCATATATCTGGACTTTGAGATGAAAGACTAGGTTTGTGTGATACTGTGGGTGTTGATGGGGTTGTTGTTGTTATATGCCGTTGAGTCGCTTGCGACTCATATCGACCCTATGTACAACAGCCCTAAACTCTGCTCTGTCCTGTGCCAGTCACACTGCCTCTGACAAACCCATCCCAATTACCCCAGTCACTGAATCAATCCACCTCATAGAGGGCCTTCCCCTCCTGCGCTGTCCCTCCACCCTCCCAAGCATGATGTCCCTCTCCAAGGACTGGTCCCTTCTTACAACATGACCAAAGTATGTTAGACGGAGCCTCAGAATCCTTGCCTCCAAGGAACAGCCCAGTTTAACCCTCTCAAGGATTCTGGGGCTTTGTCTGACATACTTTGGGCATTTTGCAAGGAGAGACAGGTCCTTGGAGGGGGACATCATGCTTGGGAGGGTGGAGGGACGGCGCAAGAGAGGAAGACCCTCTATGAGATGGATTGATTCAGTGACTGGGGTAATCGGGATGGGTGTGTCAGAGGCAGTGCGATTGGCACAGGATAGAGCAGGGTTTAGGGCTGTTGTACACAGGGTCGCTATGAGTCGCAAACGACTCGATGGCACATAACAACAACAGCAACAAGATGAATCTGTTTTCTTAGTCCACGGTACCCTCAATCCTCTTCATCACCACAGCTCAAAGGCATCAATTCTCCTTCTATCCTCCCTAGTCATTGTCTAACTCTCTGATGCATAACAAGTGATTGCAAAGACTATGGCCTGTATCAGACGCACCTTAGTCTCCAGAGAGACACCATTGCTCTTCATTAGTTTGGAGAGGTCCCTAACCGCAGACTTTCCCTTGGCAAGACGTCTTTTAATTTCCTGGCTACTGGTGCCAAGAGTGTTGACTGTGGAGACAAGCAGACTATAAAGCTGTGAACAATCTCAATCTCTTCACCATCCATCCTGATGCTGCCAATTGGCCCAGTGGTAAGAATCTTTGTCTTAGATATTTAAAACTATGGAACTGAGATTGATCACACAAGAAGAAGGCTGTAGATAAAAAAAGAGCCTCAAGGACTTATTTAAGTGAGACTCCTCATTATTAAGAGGTTAGGATAAGGGGAAGGAGGAGAGGTGGATTTGGTAGGATGGAAATGGAGAGAGTGAAGGAAGCACACCCAGGCGGAGGAAGTGACTGAAGTGTGTACAAGCACAGTGTGCTTAAGTACAATAAGGAGGAGAGTGAGGGTCATTGAGCATAATTAAAATAGTTTTAGTGGAGCCTAATTGGAATGCATTTGAGATAATGGAAGAGAACTGTTGAAAATAGCTGACATCAGTTTCAAGAGTCAGGCATCTAAGGACACAAAGCATTGGAATGGTGGCAGGCAGAGAAGATGGGCCCTCTCCTGCCTCTCTGTCCTTCTTTAATTCTCTTTTCTCCCATTTCCTTAGCTCTCCAGGCCCAAGCTAAGAGTTATGGTTAGTGGTCAACTATATGGTACTAGTGCAGTTTGACAGTCTGATAGAATGTTATCAAAATTTTCATTATTTTAAAATTGAATTATTAAGTTGTTTGAATCCTACAGGGCAATTGACATGTACCCCAAACCTGCTTTCTTTCTCATTCAGATTGAAAGTATTTTTGTAATTTCTGATGTAATTGCCTCTTCTAAAATTTGCACAGTGTTTCTTTTCCATGAACATATGGTGATAGACTAATGAAAGATTTGGTCATTTATGTAAGTCGTGTTTCTGTAGTCTGACATTCCTAACTGGCCAGCTTCCATTTCTTATCAGTACCCCCATCAAATTGATGCCAAGCAAATTCATGCTTGATGGAGAAACCTTGGATGATGGTACCGAACTTAGAGATAGAATTTGTTTCATTTTGTGTGAAAGGTGTAAACGTATTCTCAATGCCTATTTATCTGTACCACACTTGACTCTTTTTTAAAAAAAATATTTTATTTTAATGAACATTTACAGAGATTTTGGATTTTCATTCATTCATTGTTGCACTTTTTTCTTTACACCCGCCCCCCCAGTTCGCTCCTCTATTTGAAAAGCAAAAGATAAATTTCTTCATTGGTATACATTCCCCCAACCTTGCCCCCCGCCAAATGCACTCCACTATGCAACCTTAATTCTGAATTCCTCTGATAATCATAATATGCTATCATATATAACTTTTAAACTGTTCTCTTCCTCATCTGTTTCAATACAGTATACATAATCTATCCAGTTTTTCTCAGTCTTACCCCAACCCTGATATCAGTCACTTTCTACAACAGTGGCACCATGCAGTATTTGTCCTTTTGTGACTGAGACATTTTACTCAGCATAATGTCCTTGAGGGTCACCCATTTTGAATAATATTGCATGAGTTCCTTGTTTTTCAATGCAGCATAGTACTCCATTGTGTGAATATACCACAGCTTCTCTATCCGTTCGTTTGTTGATGGGCCCTTAGGTTGCTTCCAACTCTTTGCTATTGTAAACAAAGCTGCGATAAACTTGGGTGTGCATATATCTGCTTGTATGTCAGTTGTAGTCTCTTTAGGGTATATTCCCAGTAGTGGAATTGCTGGGTTACATGGTATCTCTTTTCAACTTTTTGAGAAAGTGCCACACCACTTTCCACAGTGGTTGCACCATTTTACACTTCCACCAACAGTGAATAAGGGTTCCAGTTTCTCCACAACCTCTCCAGCATTTATTGCTTGCTGTTCTGTTAAATTTTGCTAGTCTTACTGGGGTGAGATGACATCTCATAGTTGTTTTGATTTCCATCTCTCTTAGAGCTAGGGATTTTGAACATTTCTTCATGTGCTTGTTGGCCATCTGAATGTATTCTTTGGTGAAGTATCTGTTTATATCCTGTGCCTATATTTCAATTGGATTATTTACCTTTATCTTGTGGTGCTCAAGTATTTTATAAATCCTAGATATAAGTCTCTTATCTGACATGTCATTCCCAAATTCATTTTCCCAGTCTGTGGCTTCCCTTTTTACCCTGTTGGAAAAGTTTTTGGATGTGCATAGGGATTTGATTCTTAGAAGGTCCCATTCATCTATTTTATCTTCTTCTGGTTGTAGATTTTTCAGGATACGTGGAAGACTGTTTATGTTGTGGAACATTTGACTCTTTGAATACATACCCGGTGCTCTTTGGAGACCGTGTATTTGGATTATGTATGTATGTTTCTTAAAGAGAGACATTGTCTATTGCCAGAAACTTTTAAATTACAGATCTGATAAAAGTAATAGAAACCTTTTACAATCATTGTAAAAGTTAAAAAGTAGTGTTCTTTTGCATTTGAAGATTTTGCACCTACTTCCAGTCAATTCATGCCAAGGTAATGGTTGCTGTATTATATGCATTTAATGGGTCATATAAATAGTTAATGCACACAGATGAGAGAGAGGCTTCAAGTCTTCCCAGAGGTATCTTGTTAGACATGTCTATCTACTTAAATTATTGTCATTAGGGACCATTAACTTAAAACTGACTCATAGCTGCCCCTTAGTGGTTTTTTTGGAAGCAGGAGTGGCATCCACTTCCAAAACAACATGCCTCTAAAAACTCTATGAACTTTGAGAAATGATGATAGTTTTAGAAAGGCTTCAGGCCTTTTGTTCATACAGTCACTATGAGTTGTGCTCAACTTGACAGCAGTCAACAACAGTGGGTTTTGAGAAGCAACAAATGCCGTAGAAGGAGATTGCCCATCTTTCTTTTCTGGAGAAGCTGCTGGATTCAAACCACATTTCTTTGGGTTGGCAGAGAAACTCCTTACCACTAAGCCACCAGAGATCCCTGGCGACTTCTTACGGTTCAGGGCAGTAGAGTCATGTATGATAAATGAACAACAGATAGGAGCCCTGTCCTGTCTTGTACCGTCCTCACAATCTCTTTCACAGGTACGCCTATCACTGCCCTCAATGTACCAATCTATTTGCCTGAACATCTTCCTCTTTTTTGCCAACCTTCCACCTTTCTAAGCATAATGTTCCTCTCCAGCTAATAACCTTTCCGAGGAACATGCCCAAATTATGTGAAATGAAGCAGGTGACTTGGACTTTGAAAATGCCCTGGGAAGAGTTCTCTTATGGGTAGCCTTGCTAAAACCAAACCCACAGAAAATCCAATCTGAGCCTTTTTCATGAAAAATATTACTTAAGTTATATAACAATGGATTACTTTACTTTATAGTCATTTTAGAAGCATATTTAACACTGAATTAGTAATTACCATTCATTGGAAAGATATTTACAAATTCGTTGTTGTTGTTGTTCTGTGCCATCGAGTCGCTTGCAACTCAGCGAATTGATTTTCATATCCTGGAGATTTTAAATGCATATACATCTCTCTAGAGAACAAGGATGGCAGTGCAGCTGTATGGTGAGAGACCTGTATATTCATCTCATCTTGTGTGTCATTGGCCTTTTTTATGGTCAATGCTATTTTAAATTTGAAAGAAATAATGTGAGTGCATAGGAGACAGATGTTCAAGGCTCATTACAGCCAGACATCTAAGAAACCTAAATGGCTTACTGATTCAGCAAAAGTCATAAATAAGAATGAGAATTACTCTCTGTGAATCCCACATCATCTACTATTTTGGATAGTAAAACTGCAGGAGATGGTAGATTTGATGTTTAGGAGAACCACCAATTTATGTACTCTTCTCCAGCTGTATGTATGAAAGTTATTTGTGCAAGCAGGAAAACTACTTCTTCTCCCAGAATAAAATAAATGTGAGAAAAGTTATTTCCGTAGTAGAACCACTTTGGGACTCTGTAGTAGTGTGAGCTTGTGCATACATCGGGTCATCATGAATCAGAATCCACTCAGCAGCATGTACAACAGCAAAGACAATATTGTTTTTTAACCCTGGTGTGCAAGGTTAAAGTGCTAAACTTCCAGCCACAGGATTTACAGTGGGATCCCACCCTTGTTCCATGGGAAAAGATAAAACCATATGTTTCCATAGAGATTTATGGCCTTGGAAACCTTATGACACATTGCTTCTTTGTCCTTATAGGGACACTGTAGGTCGTCATTGACTCAGTGACAGTGGGTTTAGTATTTGTTTTTCATAGAAGCTGTAGAATTCATAAGCTTCTTAGAAAATGTCTTTTCTAACATGGACATCCTCTGTCACAGCACTGTGCCCCTGGGAGCAGATCAGATTCTTCTGCGAGGAGCTCAGCTGAGAAATACACAGTGGGTTCATGGCATAGTTGTCTACACTGGACATGACACCAAGCTGATGCAGGTATGATTTTTATTTATGAAAGCCTTTTCACGCTGTCATTTGAAGATTTGTTATGTGTCTCTCTCAGTGTAGCAGTAGCATAAGTGGCAGATGATTTGTGACAGGATCTTGAGCCAAAATCCAGAATCTATGTTTTAAGTGAGTGGGGACCTAAAGTGAACCTCTTGATGAGAAATTCTCAGTGTACAGAGGGGTGCACCAGAAACCACTCAATGCATGAACTCTTTGTGTGTGGGTCTACTCACAGCATTTTTTGAATATGGCATTGTCCCTGTCCATTCATCGGAAATGAACAGCAACACCCTGATGGGGGTAAGCATGACGGAGACACACCACTCTGGAAGCCATTCAGAGAGTCAATCCAGCTCAACTCTATTAGGGGCTGCAGTGCACTTATATATGAGCAAATAAACAGGAAGGCAGAATAGGGTGGTTTTGCAGGTGTGGGGTGTGCGGATTGGATAGGAGAACCTCAGCCTCTTGCGGGCGAATACCAGCTCAACAGACGCAGCTGTCTTCCCAGGTGGTGAGCTTTCTCAAGCTGATACAGCCAAACACAGGGGAGTTTTCTCTACCACGTATTAAAGGCCCTTGGGAGGCTCCACTTATCCGGAGCTAGGCTATCTATTCTAGCCAGAGGCCCTCTCTTCCTCCCCAACATGGCATTGATAGATGTACCTGTTTAGTTACAGATACTCTGCAGTTGTGGTGCCAACCCAAGTTCAAATCCACTAGCTCTTCCATGGTAGAGGGATGTGTAACTTCCTCCCGTGTTGTTTATTGCCTCTGAAAACCTGCTTTAGGGTCACCTGTATGTTAGTTCCGACTGGACAGCACATGGTAACTATATTGCTTTGTCTTGTAACTTTATTTTAAGACCATGAAAATTTGAAATTATTTTTATCAAACTACAGCTGTAACTAATGAATCAAGCACTTAATTTTTGCAGTCTGTCTATTTGTAGAAAGGAATAAGACCATTTTTGTGAACAGACACCATTTCAGCTCTTGTGGGGTTTACACATGACATAGGTGCTCCTTTCCTACTTAGAAGGAGCCCAGGACGTGTAGTGGATTAAATGTTGGGCTGCGAACCAAAAATTCAGCAGTTTGAACTCACCAGCTGCTCAGTGGAGGAAGATAAGGCCTTCTGCTACCTTAATGATTTACAGCCTTGAAAACCTTGAGAGGCAATTCTAGTCTGTCCTAAGGGTCACTGTGAGCTCCAAGTCGTAATGAACTCATTTCTAGTGGAGTTTGCTTTTTTAAAACTAAATTACGAGAGGTGTCATTTTCTGTCCAGTGTATGACTTGGTTAGACTGGATCTAGCAGAACCCTTGGAGTCATCACATACAGTTGGCTGCCTTTATCCTTTATAAATAGGAGTAACTGAATTGCTGCTGTGTCCAGTAAAACAATTGCCGCATGTGACTAGACATTTGAGAACCAGAGATCTTTTCAGTGTTGCCTTTGTACTCTGGAATTTTCAGGCTTCTAGTTGTGGGGTGTGAATGCCTGAATGTCTGCCTCTTTTTACAAGCTGAGAAACTAGCTACTTCAAGTCTGCCTTGTTTTTATAAATAACCGAGTAAATACATTGCTCCTCTTCCCTGGCACAATGCAAAAAATTATGTGGACCAAAGGAACATCATTTCCTTCATTCTTAACTGTGTTTACTTCTTTGAAAAGACCAGAGCCTTCTTTGAGAACTACTTTGTGAACTTAGGGCAAAGACGTGGCTAACCACGACAGAGGAGCCCGGTACATGCTGGTTAAATATCTGGTTGCTAAACTGAACGGTGGATGGTTCAGACTCACCAGATACTGCAGAGTAGAAAAAATATAGCAGTCTGTTTCCATGAGGTCGTAAATACAAGTCAGAGTCAGGTGGATGGCAGTGAGCTTTAACACAGCTTGTTAAGCCTGTGATTATTTGCTTTTCATTTTCCTGTATCTAACAAATGTAGATTATTCTGATTATTTTATTATTCTGATTATTTTAAACAAAATACACTAAACCCATCTCCCCTCTGTGAGTTGATTCATGGTGACCTGGAAGCTGTGAATCTTAGTGGAAGGAGATTACCTCATCTTTCTCCCTCAGAGCACCGAGCAGCCCATGCATTAAAACTGTCACCCCTTTGATTAGAAGTCCAACACTTAACCTACTGCATACACATTACTCAACATTTGAACACATTTTTTATTGCTCATATTATTTCTTTTTACAGAATTCAACAAGCCCACCACTTAAGCTCTCAAATGTGGAACGGATTACAAATGTACAAATTTTGATTTTGTTTTGTATCTTAATTGCCATGTCTCTTATCTGTTCCGTGGGCTCAGCCATTTGGAATCGAAGACATTCTGGAAGGGATTGGTATCTGAATCTAAACTGTAAGTATCAAAGTTTTCATTATCTTGACACTTTTTAAAAAAATTAAGGATTGAATTTCTTTCACAGATGAGTTGTGAATTACTTGAATTTTCTATTATTTATAAAAATACCAATTTGCAAAAATAACTGAATATGCAAGCTTTATTTTTCAGTAAGTGTCCTAGCAATTTTTTTAAAAAGAAAATATTACCCTTAAAATTCCAGAGTCAATGAAAAACATAGTGAGCAATTCAAAGTAAAGTAGTCTGTAAGTATAACAACTAACATGAAATATGTGTGTACTGCACTGAAATAGACGAGGGACAGAACTGCTTAGGAGGAATATATGAATAGGTATTATTGTCCTGAGAAGAGTCCAGAATGAAAGCTGCATAGTGAAGTGGACTGGGCGGAGGGATTATATAACAGTGAAAGAATCTTACTTTTCAAAGAGAAAAGTGAACTGGGGGGAGGGGTGGGCACGGAGGAAAGTGCAACAATGAGTAAATGGAAATCCAGAGTCTCTGTAAACATTATTAAAATTAATAAAAATAATAATCTTACCACAAAAAATTATTAACAAAAATAGATAAGGGTCTAGAAGAGAAAGCAGAATGAGTATGTATCAAGGATATAATAAATATACAGACTTTTGTAACACACCAAAAGGCAATTTACATGTTTGAGAAATATTTAAGTTGAATGTACTTTCACTTGAACTCATGAATGTGTTGGATGCTGTGTTAATGACCATCTTGCACCTTCCATTCTTTTACTGTTGTGTTTATTAATGAGCAGTCTGGAATAAACTTTGCGTATTTATTGATGAGTATCTACTAATAAAAAGTTAAATTCTAGAAGCATGTAAACAAATTCTACTAAAAATCTTGTAGCAAATTCTTAACTACTTTCCATTTTTTTAAAAAAAATGTTAACACTCCAGCTATTCCATCTTGCTATTTAAGCTGTTGATTTGCCATTTGAACAATAGAGCTGTTACTGTTGTTATGTGCCATTGTGTTGCCTGTGACTCATAGCGACCCTGTGTACTTTAGCTCTAACCCTGCCCTGTCCTGAGCCAATCTCATCATCTCCAACAGACCTAATCCCATTTCTTCAGTCACTGAGTCAATCCCTCTTATCCTGAGTCTTCTTCTCCTGCACTGTCTCTCCAACCTTCCAAGCATGATGTCCTTCTCCAAGGTCTTGTCTCTCCTGGTCACATGCCCAGAGTATGTGAGATAGACCTTCAAAATTCTTGCCACAGGGAGCAGCCTGATTTTTCCCTCTCCAGTACAGAACTGTTTCTTCTTCTGGCAGTCCATGGTATGTTCAACAGTTTTCTCCAGCACCACAGCCCAAAGGCATTGATCCTTCTTCTCTAATCCTTAGTTATTGTCCAGCTCTTTAAGGTATAGCAAATCATTGCAAAGACCATAATCTGGATCAGGTGCACTTTAGTCTCCAGACTGACATTATTGCTCTTCCGTACTCTAGAGAGGTCCTTCACAGCAAACTTTCCCAATTCAAATCATCTTTTAGTTTCCTGACTGCTGGTGCCAAGAGTGTTGCTTGTGTAACGAAGGAAGCCAAAGTTGTTTTCTCCATCTATATTGAAGCTTTCCTCACTTTTTCATCTCCAGAGTAATATATCATATGGTCATCCGACTCAAAATGCCCCATGCCAGTCCATCTCATCTCACCAATGCCTAGTATG